ATATATATATATGTATATATATATATATATAATATATAATATTTTCTGATTATTTTCTGTGATATAGAATATATTATAAATATTATATACGCGTGTGTTTGTGTGTTTGTGTTTACATTTGCACGTGATAATATATACAAATAGTGTCTGCATTTGGAATATGTAGTATTTGTACAAGTTTCCACGTATATAGTACGGAACGAATAGATACCAATACAATACTGTAATTTTGGTCACGCTATGAAAACTCGACAGTCAAAAAATGTGTATCATGGTGTATACCCCATAGTGAACATCTCCGTTGATTTCAAGTGCAGACTTGTGAACAATGATCCCATATCTATCTCAAAATTCTCTCATAGTGGTGTATGTATCAATCACAACAAGCTGACAAATCCGCAGAGGTAGGACAAAAGATATGAACATCATATAACAGGAACTATGAACATCATATAACCAAGACAAGTACCACCCAGTCCTTTGTATATATACTTTAAATCTCTTTCATCATGCACGTCAAGACACCACCTATCGCGTAGTCATTCCTATACGCTAGCCGTAACCACAAACCCCGATGCTCTGGTACCATGAGCTAACTGTACAGCCTCCAGCCCTTAATCCCACACCTACCACTAGCAGTCACACTAATACATCCTCGCCACAGTCGCACATACCTCAGTCTCAAGCTCGTCCACTCTGTCAATGGCCTTGTCGCCATTGCCGCCGTTGCGTAACAAGCGCTCGGACTCTTCCAGACGCTTCTCCGAGTCCTTGGCCCTCTCAGACAATTCCTCGACCTTCTCCTCAGCTCGCTCTAGGTCGCCTTCTAATAGAGCCACCTTGTTGCGCAGTGTGTGCGCCTCATTCTCGGCAGTGGTGGCAATGGCCTGTGCTTCACGCAGAGCATTCTCAGACTCCTCTGCACGGACAGTGGCGGTATGGGCCTCGTCCTTCAAGGCAGCAATCTTTCCCTTAATAGCGTCCATCTTGGCGTAGGTGTGTATTGTTTCAAAGATACTCGTGTATTGGCAAAAGATATTGGGATAGAAAGCAGAAATATGGGTGCTGGATATGGGGTGTGTACTTCTTTATACCTAGTTTCTCTTCCCGATCTTTCGCATTCTATGCCACAGCGGGGCTGTGCCCTGGAGGCCAGCGATGCGAGCGATTGTCTTCTTTTTCACAATATGGGGACATTCTCACTGTAGTTCTGGTTGGACTGTCAGAATGTTGGGCCACCACAGCACACAAGGTATTGGAACGAGACGGCTTGAGCCGATATTGCGCAAAAGCAACAAATTCGAGGGCCAATCAGTGCTGTGATTCTGGTCCAATAATTATTATCATCCAATGGAAATTAAGTGCGAAGAATGGGATTGGCTGCCGACTACCGATAGGACAGCATCTACATGTGATGGTGTGTGCCAGATTGCATGTTGCATCACGTCAATATTTATATTCTGCTTACATCTCAGCATATGCGATTAGTGTCCGACGACACTATTTCACGGTGAACAGACTATTTGATGGCGTGTGAATGGATTCGCACACGCCTTCATGATATTGTAAATATCACACATACCTATTAACATATTGTACATTCGAGCTAGGAGCAGGAGGTGTCGCTGCTTATAGTGCTGAGTGTACAGAATGGCATTGGAGGGTGCACCATACATGCTTCAACACTGAAATGATCCTTGTCGCCCAGTCCAGGTCGCAAGGACCGTTTGTGAGTTGGTTCTGATACCCTGTGACGGCCTTGTGCTACTGTGCTGTACTATGTCACGAACATATGTACATTACTTGATCGCCTCCTGCGTAGAAACGCTACATTAGTTCCATTTGAAAGATTCTGCAATCCTCATGCGATTGACCTCTTGCAATAATTATTCTGAAGAGATACATGTATCACTATAAAAACAACGATTAGCTTCTGAGCTATTCCTGTACTTGTACATTTGTTTCTACGCTTCGTTCACGAACGCCAGTGTTTACCATCTTCTTGCAGACTTCTCAGATATGAATGCCGCGAGCTATTGCATTCTCCGTGAATGCGTTCTACGTGTACAGGTAGTTTCATATATTATATTATACATATATCAATATATATATATATATATATATATATATGTATATGTAT